TTTATCGGCGAATCGGTTTTGAAAATGACCGATACCGATAAAAATAAAACTGCTTAATATCGGCCAGGCCGATAATCGGTCGACCCCTAGTTCAGATGCAAAAGGCTCCAAATGCCATCTGAAATTTTCTTCTAAAATTAGCATTTTTCTCAGGCTCCTATATTTATGTTCAGTTATTTCTGAATAAAATCATTGTATAGTAACATTAAAAGCAGCTCAGGCCAGTAAAATATGGAGGTACCTTACTAAAAAGTAGATATTAGTGACTCTTCTGCTTGAAAAATGGTGTAGTGAAGTGAAATAGGTAGGTGAACAGGTTATCATGTTATGTTATTATAGCATGTATTTCAATGTAGCTGAAACGCTGTACTTTTCTTCAGCATTTGGGAGTTAACTATGCATTCTATAACATGCATTAGTTAATATTCTGACACTTTCCTGTAATATCCAATGGATGATTGTGGTTCTAGTGCGAGGTTCTTACCTCCAGACACCACGACTTTAGCACTGGTGAGTTCTGGACGGTCACTCTTGGTTAGAGTTTGTTCCAGCCACTCAGAGACTCCAACAGGGGCAGACGGAGAGACTGCAAACGCAACAACATCTCGTGAGGAGACGTCCAAATAAACAGGCCGAGTTGTTCCGAAATGCCCTTTACGATCCCTTTAAAGCCAACGTTTAAACAAACTAGCCCATCAAAACCTCGCAGCGGAGTGGAAGATTATATACAAGACTAAATACTATAAACCTTTGTGTGTGGTATCAAAGTCAGCGTGACCTTAAAGCAAAACATGAACAAACAGCAGTGTTTAACTTTATCAAACGAAACGACTCGGTACCTTCCTCTGAAGATGCGCCGCCTCCATCCACAGCCGCAGGTTCAAAGGAAGTGCCTCTAACGGTGAACACCTTGACGCTTTCATTGCACTTGACTGTGCTGAGGGCATTTCCTGTGAACGAAAAAACGTAAACTAGGTGTTAGAAATGACAAGAAATATTGTTAATAATAGCAAAATACATAGTATAATACAATATACTAAAATTAAAAATAAAATTCAATATATAAAATAAAAAATGTAATTTAAAAAATAAAACAAGATATTTAAGATCAACTTTTCATATTTACTGGTGGACTCAATATAAAAAAAGCTTGATTATTTTTTGTTAAAAAGAGCTTAGATTCTCACTTTATAATAGCTTGTATTAAGGTCATTAATGCACATTACTACACTGCACAATGAAAAACATATCATCATAAAATGTCCATTCAAATACTTTTAAGATAATTTAAGAAACCGTATTATAAATCATATGCACAGAACCTTTCGTGGATCCCCCGGTTGAAAACCTTGGACATAAATGATCACAAGTGGCAAACCACCACTTTTCATTTGATGTTTCGCATGAAAAACGTTTATATCGGATTTAAAATAACATTTAAATAAAAAAATCTCGTAAATAATTTTTTTTTTTTTTTTACACAAGTGCTTTGTGCTTGCCAAAGATAAAGTGGATGGAGTAATTAGGAAGTATTTATGGCAGTAGATTTTATGGATGAGAAACGATGAACAGAAAAATAATGCATGCAAAGTGGGACAAAAAGGCTCCAGGGTCCCCCTTAGATTTAAAAATGAAAATATACGATTTGTTTCAAGTCAGCGTGAGTTATCGCGTGTCTCTGTGCACAATGGCCAGACTCCTAAATCACAACCTGTGTGCTGAACAACGAAAAGGATATGGAACAAATTAGGAAGGTTATTTGAAAGCAAACAGGTTTAAAGCAAGCGTTTCATTGAGATGTGCTACTTGCGCATGTTTACCGGCGTAAATGGTCCTCACAAAGGTGTCTGGAGATTTGATCTCAATGACATCTGAAATGGGAGCCACATCCAACTTGGCAGCCACTCTTGGAAGGAGATTCTACAAATAAAGACGCACACACACAACCTTATTAAAAGACAAGACGGATGTATCTGAAGCTCGTGGATAAGTTCGAGCCATTGAAACATGTCCATTCTTATCTGCAGATGTGGTCAAATTTGATTAGTTTGGAAATAGTATTATTTCGGCAGGCATTGATCAAAAGCCAGTTTCACCGCATGCCTGAAAACTTTGGCCATCCTGCATCGCAGACGGAATAAATATCGTTGAGTCTGAAAAAGAGCTCGAAGTTATGTCTGGAGGTGAAAAATATTGCATAGTGGTAATTCAAGTGTTTTATATAGTGACATAATGAAACCAAATCCACCACTTAAGAATCCATCAAATAAAATATGTTTAGCCAGTGAGGAAATTGAGACTAATACATCTCTTTGGTCTGGGGTTAGGCTACATAAGATACTGTTTAATATATTACAATTCAATTTAAATACCATTAGATCTGCTGCCTGACAGTTTGGCTGTGGAATGACAAATAACCGTGCATATAATAGAGCCGCACTTACTGAGGACGGACTTCTCCCACTATTCCAAAAGTAAGAAGCCTGATAGGGGCTCGGAAGTATGAGAGTTTCTAATCCATTTGTGCTTTTCGCTTTGGGGAAATAATCAAATAACTTCTGAATGAGAACAACTACAAAATCCTGCATTAGGCAAAGCAGAGCTACACTAATCACTGATGCAAACACGTGGAAAATAAAAAAAGGATCAAGGAAAAATGTATGTAAATTTGACACGACCACAAAAAAAAGAGACTCTCAGCAAATAAAAAAAAAATAAAAAATACCAACAAGGCAAATAAGTATGTCAAATACCGATCAAGGCAAAAAGTGAGAAGGTTTTACCATTTGTACAAAGTTCATCATTGAATAAAAATAACATTTTAATCAAATAAAGGCAGGCATTTTCTTCAATGACAAATGTTTGTCATCAAATAAAAAGCTCAAGGCAAAAATGTCATGTCAAATTCATACAATCTGATAAAAGTTCACCATCAAATAAAACAAAATCAAGGCAAACGTAAGTCAGTTTAGTTTGATCTGATAAAAGTATGTCTGTCATTAAATAAATAAAAAATGATCAAGGCAGAATATGAGTCAGTTTTGTTCAATGGGATAAAAGTTTGTCATCAAATAAAAAAAAAAAAAGCAACAATATGCCAAATATGTCAAAGAAAAAAAACATTAAGGCAAAGTATGTCAAATGTTTCCATTTGTCCAAAGAAACAAAACCCATCAAAGTAAAAAAAAAAAATTGTTCAATCTGATAAAACTTCATTTTTACAACTGTACAACGTTTTTAATCAAAACAAAAGCTTGTCAAATTTATCAAAGAAAAAAAAAAAAAAAACATTAATTATGTTCAATCTGATAAAAGCTTGTCATCATGTAAAAAAAAAAACAAGGCAAAAATGTACATTTTGTTAAAAGTGATAAAAGTTTGTCATACAAAAATCTAAATATAAGTCATAACACTTGATAAATGTTTGAAATTAAATTAAAATGAAAATAAAGCCAAAAAGAATAATCCAGTTTGTTCAATCTGATAAAAGTTTGTCAATAAAATAAAAAAGTGACCACATTGCTGTTTTTACCATGGTGTGCAAAAGACACAGGATGTGTCCCAGGATAACAAAAGAAAAAAAACAAAGCAAAAACAAAAATACGATAGAAGATTTTTTTTTTTAAATAACATACGATAAAAGAAATCTAAAATCTTTTCTGGTAAAATCTTGCTCAATAATAAAGACGACAATATGTCACCCTTTCAGCCTTGGGTTTACCTTTCCGAAAGCAGACGCACCCGCACAGAAGTGTGTGAAGCTGAACTGTTTCTGGGTTGCCAAGATGAGAGGCGTCAGCTCCTCTGTGAAAGAAAAATTTTTCATTTAAATCACTCAATACCTCCTTCCCTCACCTGTCAGACGCTTTATGCAAAGTTACTTCTGTAAATCTTCCATAAAGAACAGTACAACAATCAAATACTTTCCACATTTATGAACAAAACCACATTAAGTTGGGTTTACCTGGCAATAAACCTTTGTAGGCTTCATGCTGGGCTACCAGAACTTTCTTCACCCCTTGAACTTTGGACAACTGCTCCGCAACCTGTCCAGAAACCCATAATCATACCCTTGAAATCACTCTTTTAAACTTCAATGTGCATGAACAGATAATACCTTTGCACAGTTTGTTCCAGCAACCAAACAGGACACATCACTGCCGAGTTTCGTAGCAGCAGTGATGGCGTTCAGGGTGATGGGGGTCAGTGTCTCATTATTGTGCTCGGCAACTACCAGAGTACTCTGAAACCTCTGAATCAGACCAGCCTGGAAAGAAAAAACAGGTTTGGTTAACTACCGAATCTGATACAGTAAGATATAAATATCTGGCAGGGACTTTCACCCAAATAACTGATATAAGGGAGACTATTTAATGCAGTGCAGCCAGACGTTGTTCTGTAGCCCACAGAGGTCATCAGAAATCTGAGACATAACAGAGATATGATACTACTTTGGGGTCTGACAATGTAGGTCACATTTTAAATGCATTGTAGGTCAAACAGTTACTTAAGGACAGTGAAGAGGTTTCATAATGCACTGTTTACATATTGCATAACCCTGACAGATAGTTGTTAGCCAGCTCTGTTTATTAACTAATCATATACCAGTGCCTAAAAGTGTTATGAACAATATGTCATGTTCACTCAATATTGAAATATTGTTCAAAAGGTCAATATTTCTGTTCAGAACTATAAAAAGCTATGAGAATACATGATTCTTAACGTTTAGACGCCTAGTTAGCATACTATATAACCATTAAAAATAGGTTAGCAAAGTAACCAAACATTTGACATTGCGTTTTAATGATCACATTTCAAAAACACAATAAAACAAGATGGAAAGGAACAGCAGTTTAGTAACATATTGCACAACATCTGCAGAACTGAATGAGCGAGTTAGCCAGCATGCTAAGCTATTCATTCAAGTATATTTCGGTCTAGAAAGGGTAGAGAGAACGAGTGACAACTTTAAAAGAAAGTGCGCAGTGGTTAATGCATCGTTTCGACGGATTTGTCTTACCAACTGCCTGAGATGTGTCTTGTTTATTGCTTTGAGCATGATTGCAGCAGCACACTGTCAAAAACCACTCTAGTAACAGGGGATAGAGGTCGAGTTGAGTTCTCGCGAGATCATAAAAGACACGCCCCTCTTATGTATAAGTAATTTTGCAACGGCTCAAATGTGTTGGTAATGTTCCTCAGGATATGTGCGTATAGTCAAAAATATGTTTAAGAAAACGAATAAGCAATAAAATGTTAGCAGAAAGCAAAATTACTAATATAACTGTCTAATAGCAGAGTGGACGGAGTCGGTGTGGATATTTAATTAGGGGGTGTGGTTTAATCGCTTTGATAACGTCTCAGGTTACTTATGTAACCATGGTTCCCTGAGTAGCGAAAAGTTCCCATGAAAGGGAATCTGTGGAGCTTCTAGTTCAAGAAGAGCTGGCTTTTACACGGGAGACTGTAAACGTAACAGGGTCCACTGGATCCATGGTTACATTTTTATGACTTTATTTAATATTTTATATTATAGGCAGTGGCTAATCCTCAGAAACAGCAGCACCAACCGCTTATTTTCTGTATTAAGCAAAATAGCCTAATGCGTTTTGGAATGAATATGAGCTTTTTTCAGTGCTTTTCGGGGTATGATTTTTATTAACGTGCTTTTTGTTTGTTTTATTTACTACTTTTAGCCTATGTCATTTATTGATTTGATAGACTGTTTAGATGTTGCTTTGCATTCACGTGCAAAATAAAGTAATTAAAAAGAAAAAAAAAGCTGAAGACAAAAGGGAAAGATGAGTAGGCTATTGTTTATTAATGACTTTTTGCATGTAGTTATTAAAATAAGCATTTAACGTTCGAGATAAGCTGTTCGATAAAACCATAGAATAAAAAAATACAGGCTAAAATCATAAATGTGTTATAGGCCTACACGCTTTTAACAAAAAATAGCTTGCTATTTCTTACCATTTTTAGGCCTGTTAACTCATTGACATTATAAATAGCCGTCGCGACTAAATGTTTCAACTACGATTAAAGCAAATTAAAACGCTAATATTGTGTTCTGTACATGCAATTTCACAGACGTCTCTTTTCGACCCCCTCATGGAGACATCATGGTTACTTAGTACAGCCTAAATTAAATGTATCCTATTTCTTAGAGGTCAAAGGCAAAGACACGCGGTGACTTAGTGAGAGTCAGTGGATTCGCAACAACACGACTTTCAACATGATTGTCCGATTCATTTTGCAATAAACGAAATTATTCATTATGGTCGCTTTTAAAATACTTGCGTAGCCTACTTTAATCCACATTAAACATGCTGGAGAAGAAGTGTTTATCTCTATTGAAGTAGGCTAGCCTATACAAATTTGACAAAGGGACAGAGTAAAAAGATTTAAGTTTAAGAGAGAAGCACGAATTATTCGCAATAACTGCTTATGAGTTTAATTCAAGGTGCGTATCGTTATTATTACCGGTTATAAGCAAATGTGTGCTCTGAATCACTTCTGACATTTTCAATAGAAGCAGAAACGATTAAATATAGGCGAAGAATGTATAGATTTCATGTAGGTCGATTATGGTCATTTTGATAATTAAGAAGCAATAGATTAAACGGATTTGAAACACGTTTTATTCGCAGTCAAATTAAACTGTCGAAATCCCTTAATAGCTAGCCTACTCCAAACCATGTTTTTTTTTTCTAATATGCACTGCTGTAATTTAGCAATGTTATTAAATATCACATATGTAGTAAATTATTTTCTACCTGAATTATTCCCTTTTTTTAGACTCCAAAGGCTTGGAATGGCAAAGATGTAACTAATTATGAACTGTATTACATATTTGACATGTCAAACAATATGTGATGTTATTGTGATGTCCAGTAGGGGGCTCACTAGAACACATGGACTTAAACTCATATGGATTTACCTGTAGGGAAAAGCAACGAAGACCAAACATAGCCTGTGTGTTCCTTTGTTTTGAGAAAGTGCTAATTTTAGAGAATAGGCCTATTAATATATATACAGTAGTCAACACTACTGAAGTTGATCAAAAAAGTTCATCAAATTTGTCCTAAGACAAGAACGCATTTTGGTTTTATAGGTTTTAAGACAAAACAAAAAAACACTAGCTTTCTATTTTTTCTATTCTATCTACTTGTTTTTCTTTGTGTGTGTGTGTGT